GAAAGAAGAGAGGGAAGGAGGGAGGGAGGGCCCGGCTCCAGCGCAGGAAGTATGGGAAGGTGCTGGGCAGCTCAGTCCTTGGGGCGCCTCTGCCTGCGGTGTTCGGGGTGGCGACTCGCCTGGCCTGACTTGCTTCTCCCTCCCTCTCGCTTTTCCTTTGCAGACTCACCACCACGGCGGCTTGTTTTATGAATCTGGAAAAATTCCCTATGGACAAGCATACCTGCAAGTTGGAGGTGGAGAGCTGTACGTGTACCTCCCATGGCCCCTGCATCCCCACCTGGAGTCGCAGCCATCAGGAAAGCAAAGGCACACTTGACAGTGAGAGAGGGACCCCCACATCTCCCCGACTTCCACCTTTCCGCTTTCTCTCTCTCTTTGACAGACAGACAGACAGACAGACAGACAGACATGTACATGACATCTGGGGAAAGGTGGCCTTTACAAGGTGTCAATAGTCCCATGGGGAAACTGCACAAGCTCGTGCCTCGGAGCCCATCTCGTCACTTGCTGTCCTTCCTGGCTGACAAACCCCAAACTGGGAGTTCTGTTTCCAAGTGTCCCCCTCCTACATGCTCAGACTCAGCGAAACACAAAGGAACTCCCCAAAGTGCAGGTCCCAACCTTTCTTTGGAGGTTCCACAGAATGCACTGCTGTGAACTCTGCCCGTGCCTGCTTCCTGAGACTGACTGACACTGTTTCCCTCCGTGTCCCAGATGGCTACACGGTCGACGACATCGTGTTGTACTGGGAAGGCCATGAGAACGCCATCCAGGGGACCGAGGACCTACATATCCCTCAGTTCAGCTTCCTGGGGAAGACGATGTCTAACAAGCAGGTGCTTTTCTACACAGGTGGGTCTCACCATTTCTTTGCCCCCTGTCTCTTGTCTCCTTTGTTACCCTGGTAACGTCCTGGGGACGCCTCCTTGCCTATTTCTTTCTGGTTCTGGAACCTTCCAAAACCTCCTTTATAAAGTCCCAAGGGCTTACTCTCTGCAAGTTAAGAAACGCGTGGAAGCACGTGGTCAGCACTGACTCCGCCAGCGCAAAGGGTCCGTGCTCTTGATAAAAACGGTGTCCTCTCGGGCCAGCCCCTCACCCTCCATCGATGCGTAGCTTTGAAACATCTCACGTCTGTCCCTTTTCAAAACTTCAGTTGACATAGAGGAAGGAAGGAGAGAGCAGACTTGCTGTGCCATACAGGCCTACTGACAGATGCCATCGTCACTGGCCTTAAGGCAGCAAATGGGGTTAGGTCTGCAGACTGCCCAGGCTCTGGAGTAGCAGAGGCTGAACGGCCCATCGGTTTCTGCGCCTCTGTCCTGTACTTCACGCCGAAAACCCCCACAGCGCTGACACCAGCATGTCTCCTTGCCAGGTTCCTACGAGCGCCTGACACTGAAGTTCCTGGTCCAGAGGGACATTTTCAGCTACCTCGTGCAGGTCTACTGGCCCACTGTCCTCACCACTGCTGCCTCTTGGGTATCATTTTGGATGAACTATGAATGCCCTGTAGCCAGGGTGACAGTCGGTACGTCCTCCCCCACCCCCATCCCAGAAAGGAACTCGGGCCACCTAGCTTAGAAAAAAAGTTGAGAGGAAGGGAAGAGCATGGGGAGCAGTGTGACTGCACAGGCAAGCAAACGAGATGGGGACAGCCCCACAGGCATTCGGACAGGTACTCGGGCCAGTCTCCATCAGAGAGGCCAGTGTTGGAGACAGGAGTGAAAAAAAAAAAAAAAAACTCAGGGCTGGGATTTTCGTATGTTGGGCCCGAAGTACCAGAATTCATTGTTTTCTGGCTACATAAATGAATGGAGAAGTCAGTCCTAAACATAGATCAGAAATGCAACAAAACAAACGTTGACGAAGCAGCGTATCCAAATTCCCTACCAGGCAGCGGAGAACTTCCACAGGAGCTGCTTTCGATGAGTGTTTAGGGCGGTGCTGAGACAGATGCCATTGGAGCCCAGAGGAGGAAGCGACCCAGGTCTCGTTGGCTAAAATCGCACCAAGAAAGTCTTGCGCCACCTGGGTTTTTCGAAGACTCATAGGAGGCACAAGACTTGGCATTCCCTAAAATAGGAAATAGCTTGAGTAAAGGCACAGGGGCCCTAACATGGGGCTAAGTCACTGGGTGCTTGGGGCGGGAGCTGGGGAAGTGGGGAGAGGGGCAGGAAGCAAGGCTGGGATGAGTTGGAAGGACCTTAAAATTCCAGTTGGAACGTCACGTCTAAGCGATGGGGAGCATTAAAAGTTTTTGAGCAGTACCGATAAGGGGCCTAAAAAGTCAGCTCGTAAGTTTATCTGGCCCCACGCTGAAGAATGCAGCGTGTCTAAGTCTGGTTTCTCCTTCATCTGTGGGGCAGAGTCCTCAGCCTCCTTTAGGAGCACGTGCTACACTAAACTTTTATATTTGTGTAATGTTTTAGGGTTCCTAAACCCTTTCTAGGGACGTGATCTCATTTAAGAAAGCCCAGGGACTGCAAGGCCAGAGGGGAAAAGGCCATTATAGGGCAGGATGGGGCTGGGATTGTCAGTCATTGTGAAACCACAGCTGGAGGTTTGGACTTGATCCTAAAAGCAGCGGGAAGTCACAGGAACATCGATGGGCAGGCTGGGCGTGAAGGTGGGGACCGAGGAGCAGAGAACACCTGAGCCACGGCCCCCGGCCTAGAGAGCTGAACCCCTTCAGGTGGCCTTTGCTCCCTTCCTGTAGGATATGGGCGTGATGGCTTGCCAAGAGCTGCAGCCACCTGAGGAGACTAACCTGCTCCATCTTGTTTATAGGTCTGACTTCAATGCTCATCCTGAACACCATCAACTCACATCTGCAGAATAAACTGCCCCAGTTTTCCTGCATCAAAGCCATCGACATCTACATGGTCGTATGCTTCTTCTTCGTGTTCCTGTCCTTGCTGGAATACGTCTACATCAACTATGTCTTCTACGGCCGCAGAGGGTCCCGGCGCCTTTACAAGCAGCGCAGGAGAGCCCGAAGAATCATGGCCCGCTATCGCTACCGGGGGGCGGGGCCGAAGGTTTGCCTTTTTAACTGATCAGCTTTCCCCGAGTGCCTCTTTAAGCCTAAGCTTAGCACTTGACCCTTTCACACTTCTTAGTAGTTCGTTTAATAAACACACACGTGTGCATGCGTCCCTCCCCCCGGCTACAGATAACAAAGAAGTAGAATTTATCATCACTCGTGTATAGGGTTCGGTCTGTCCAAGGTCATGAGGCTAGTATGTGGCAGAGCTAGATTTCTTCAGACCTTTTGGCCTTCAAACCCAGTCCACTTAGCATGCTTCCCAGGGCAGACGCTGCAGTCAGCGGGAAAGGGAACATAGAGAGGCTGAAAGGAAAAGGCAGACACCAGACAGGCTGGCCTGCCCCTCCTTCCTTTGCTCTTCCAACTCCCAAAGCCCTGCGAGGCATTAGCTGCTGTCCAGCACCCCGCCCTCCTTCACAGGGAGCCCGGTCCCACCTACCTGTGGTGGCCTCACCCTGTCCGCCCGCACAGCGCTGCAGAGGAGGCAGCTGCCCCAGGGACACAACGGGCTTGGCAGCCACCAGGGCCCTCCCTTACATGACAACAGCCTCTCGGGTCCTGCTCCTCAGCCCCTTGCACCCCGGAGACCCCAGGGGAGAGGTGATTCTGTCAGGGGAAGAGATCGCCAATCACATTGCAAGTGCTGATGAGGAAGGGCCCCCCCCTCCCCGAAAGTGCTTATTCACGTAGGATTCAGACCTGCTCGTTTCATGAGTCCCTCTCCACTTGCCTCCTCAAAGAATGACCAGGTTACCATCGAACACGAAAGCAGCTCTTCTCACTCCGGACCGGTGCGGGCCCGCCTGGCGAGCCCAGAAAACCTCAGCTCTCTGAGCTCCATCTCCAAGCGGGCCCCGCTGGCCTCCTCGGAAAGCTTCAGCTCGCTGTCTTCTACCTCGCGCCGGTGCCGGCTGGCCACCCAAGAAAGCCTGAATGATCTGTCCTCCAGCTCAGACCAGTGCGTGCCTCAGTGTGATATTTACGACAGCGACGTCGATGACAGTAGCGAAGTTCGTCCCGTTAACGTCTTCAGGCGTGCCGAAGAACGCGGCCGTGCCGGGACCCGTGACGCAGACGACCCTAGAGAGAGCATCAGCTTGGATAAGACCCACGACCGCAATTGGAGGCATCTGTTCGACCGCCGCCAGAAGTCTGCCGCGCGTAAAACGATCAGTGGCCCTAAGAAGCTTGATGACGTCTTTAACATATCGAGAAGAGTCAACGTTAAGCGCGACCACCCTGACGTTGAGAAGAATCTCCATCGCGACGATGATGGCGATGACAGCAGCTGGGAGCGTGATAGTTTCAGGGCCTTTGATGAAGAGAAGGATAGCGATTTCGGTTCTGATGATAGCTCTCCCCCAAGCCCTGGGCAGTCCTGTGGCAGGAGGCTTGTGCACAAGATCTTTCGCCCTCGCTACATCCCTAATATCGACAGGTGGTGCCAGGTCCTGTTCCCTCTGGCCTTTGTGCTGTTCAACATTGTTTACTGGGGGAAGAATGTCATTTAGTCCCATAGCGCCCCAGAGCAGCAAGGCCACTGGGCTGTGTTCCTTTCACAGTCTCTTTTGATTTGGTTTTGCCTTTTCTTTTTTCGTTTTATTTTTGGTTAGTCCAGCAGTCGGATCGGTTCTCTCTTTTTTTTTTTTATCAACGCAAGGTGGGGAGTAGCTGGAAAGGAGGTGTTCTGGTGAGGAGGAGAGAGGTTGAGGAGGAGTTGGAGGTAGATCGCTCACTGATTTTCCTTTTCTGCTAAAAGACTCCCCTTTTCAAAGACTTCTAACAGCTGACAAGCACAGAGAAGCCTCTGGAAATGTTGAGAAGGCAGAAAAGGGGCCCGGTTGGCTGACGGGGGAAGGAGCTGAGCCCCGCGCACAAACATTTCCGGCGGCTTTTCTGGCCCCCCGAGGTGTTAGATTTTCTTTTTCATTATTTTTTTCTTCTTTTTTTTTTTTTTCCTCATAGGGATTATGTTCCTTGCTCACCTGCTGCTTAGGGTTTTAAGGGGGAAAAAGTCAAGCTACGTTGGGCTTGGAAGGGCAGGGGACTGGCTTCTAGGGAACTTGAATTTTGAAAGTGCCTTTTCCCCAGTATTTTTTTTGTATTTTGAGTGTGGTGTTGTGGTGTGGGGTTGGGAGTGGAATGTAGATGGGTAGTCAGGGGTGCTGAGCAAGATGTCAGGGCAAGTGAGTGTGTGTTCCCAGCACGAGCTGGGGGGGGCTACGGGGGAGGTGAGTGACGTGTGCTTGGACATGACCCAGATTGAACTGGTGTCTTGGGAGGGACTGGAATTCTCTCGTCTATATTTCCACTTCGGAATGCTTGACAATAGGGACTTGGTACATCTAAGTCGGATACCGAGCTGATCACTAGTCACAGAGCAAGCGCTCGGTTCCGACTCGCTGCTTTGCCATCTGATCTAGAATAGCGGACGAACGAGTGTCGTGAATCTATATATACTAATCCTTTCTGTTTGTCTAGTGCACAGTGTCAACTAGCTCACCGACCTATCACGTCATCAGACCGTCACAGGAGCTCTGTGAGCCAGAGAAGGCAAAGCACACTGTCCCCAGTGTTCCGAGGGAAAAAATTGGAGCTTGAAGACTCTCAACTGAGGTGCCCCCCTTTCTCTCCACTTTTATTAAAAGGGGTGCTCCCCCGGGTTCTGCTTATCTGCCAGGCACCAGACCTCATACTATATAGCACGTGGAGCATGTCCGCAGGAAGAGGCTGGTGACCAGCGTGACCCGAACACACGGAACACGGGGACTGCCACCCAGTGGGACTCCTAAGGGGGCAGGAGATAGTAGATTGCGCTCCAACTTGCCAAGCAGCTCCGCCTCATGGGTGGAGGCCGTGGGAGAATGAGATTTGCCAAGCACTCAGTGTGCGTGCCCCGCTCCTCCCCCGGCAGCCTCCCCTGCAGCTCTCAGCCACTTACCGTTGTTAACCGTGTTTCTGTGTCTATCGAGGTGTGTGCGTGCATCAGAGTAGTTCTCTGTTCACATATAACTGTTGGAGAAGATGTAGACCTGTGTGTATATTGGTGTAAATCTCCACGGTGTGTGTAAGAGTGCATACGTGACAACGTGTGGATGCGTATGTGACTGTGTGCACCCCTTGTGACTTAGGGTATGTGCGCGCCTGTGTGTGCACACGTGGGTGTATTCTTTGTGTGTGCGTAAGTGCACGTGTGCATGTCTATGCTTATTTTTCTGATGTCAATGGGTGTCAAAGGGAATACCCGTGCAAGCAAACGTATCCGTGTTAGTGTGTCTTCTAGAACAACCAGATTTCCCTTGGCCTCTTCCCGCATGGGGAAGAGGGGTCTATTTAGCCAGGCTGATTAAGTGACTTGTTTCTTTCCAATCCCTGTTTCCGGGAGCGGCGTCCCCCGGTCCCCAAGCATTCCTCTCTCCCTCTCCCCGCCCATCTCTCCTATCCCTTGGATCAAAGATGCAGAAGAAGTTGACCGTAGTCCTAGAGTCCTAGGAAGCGATAATTTTAGTGCCTTGAGGTAGGAAAGTGCTCAATCGTGAGATAAGCTGCACGTGCAGAGCATTCCGCTTTGTCCTGAAGGGACACGTGTGAGGTGCCTTAGAGATGCGCTGAGAACAGAACATGACATAGAAAACTAGTGATCTGCAGGGACGGTTGTATATAGCCTTTCGAAGTCATCCCTTTATTCTAGTCGCCTTGTAAGCCTGACCTTGGAGGCAGCCCCAAGCAGGTGGGTGGTGTGTGGAAATGGCCCAGGGAATTGGCTGCCAGCAGCTGGATGCAGAGAACCAAAGGTGCCTGGGAGATGGCTGTAGGCATGGACTGTGGTGATGGGCCCATCCAGGGGCGGGGGCAATTTAGTAGTCATCCTGGGATGGTTGTCGGCTGAACTTCAGCCTTGAATTTGAAACTCCCTC